TGAAAGATAAGTCTCTATCAGTCTCTCTATCTCCTATTGACACACATATACCATCCAAACTGGAGGAGCTCTATGGGTTGTCCATCCAATTGGATATTATAGTCTGGTAACAGGCATTCTTCATCCACTTGGTTTTCCCATGAGGATAGCTAGGACAAACTCTTTTAAGTGTCTGTGAATCTCCTTTAGAAGGATTTGCACTATTCTGGGACACAATGTAATCATTGCAACATCATCTGCAAACAGGAGCACCTGAAGGACCTCACCATCCCTCTTCAACTTGGACTGTTTGCTGGAGACTGAGACTAAATTGTCTAATGACTAGAAAATATGCTCATTATTAGAAGATTTTGAACTATTGTCTTCTATATCATTAAACAACAACAACATTTCCCTAGTTTGCCTTGACTGAAAGTACTGGGGCTACTGCCATGCTGACTTTAGCATGGACCATTGGTCAGCTTCGCTCATTGCGGCTCTGAATGCCCCAGCCCAAGGTTACTGTCAGCCTCATCTTCCCCAGTAACTGGAATTATAGGCATGCACAACCCTGCCTAGCCTCCAGACCATTAGAGAAATGTACTTTTTGTGCTGCTCTATTATGAATCTATGTTTTGGGATTTGTCTGATAATTCAGGCAATGTGGATTATTACAATAATAATAAATTAATAAAGTGATACATTAAATCTAGCAGACATTGACAATTATGTGCTAATACAAAGTCCTTTACAAATCAAGAGCTTTTAAAAATAGCATACCTATGTGTATATATGTATATATATACATACATCCATGCACATACATGCATACTCACACAAACATACACACACATACACATACATATGAAGATTTACAAAGCCCCTTCTGCACAGTAGCCTTGTAAGGGAGGAGATAGAAGTATTATTTTGAGCATTTTAGTGACAATGAAAAACAGCATGGTATAGTAAATAGAAGGCTGAGCTTGGTGTCAGGAAGATCTGGGTTCAAATCCTACCTCTCATATTCCTAGCTGTGTGACCATAAGCAAGTTGATTAACCTCTCTGAGCCTTTATTTCTTCCCATACTTATGAAATGTCAGTCAATAAGCATCTGTTATGTGCCAGCTATGTGCCAGGCACCGGGATAAGCGCTGAATTGATTGATCTATGTCATGTTGAGAGGGGACAAAGTGATCTGTCCAGGGTCAGTTACATTGCTAGTAACTCTCTGAGGTGAGATTCAAACCCAGAACTCCTGGATCCAAGTCCAGAATTCCATCTACTATGTTCCATTGTTTGCTTAATACTTTCAACTCTTCAAAGAGTTTTGACTTTTCTTTTTCTTTCTTTCTTTCTTTTCTTTCTTTCTTTCTTTCTTTCTTTCTTTCTTTCTTTCTTTCTTTCTTTCGGAGGCAATTGGGATTAAGTGACTTGCCCGGGGTCACATAGTTAAGAAGTGTCTGAGGCTGGATTTGAACTCAGGTCCCCCTGACTGCAAGGCCAGTGCTTTATCCACTGTGTTATATAGCTGCCATGAGTTCTCTCTCTCTCTCTCTCTCTCTCTCTCTCTCTCTCTCTCTCTCTCTCTCTCTCTCTCTCTCTCTCTCTCTCTCTCTCTTTTCCTTTTTGGTGAGGCAATAGGGGTTAAGTGACTTGCCCAGGATCACATAGCTAGTGTTATGTGTCTGAGACTGGATTTGAACTCAGGTCTTCCTGACTCCAAGGCTAGAGCCCTATCCACTGCTCAACCTAGCTGCCCCTGATTTTTATCATTTTGAAAGGGTTTGAACACAAAATCACTTTAAGGGCCTTAACTCTTTTGTCATGTGAGAATCTATTGAAAGAATGTAGAATGTTTAGCTTGTAGAGGAGAAGGTTAGTGATGGGGGAGGGGAGATGACACATGATTGTCAGTCAGTCAATAAGCCATTATTAAGTGCCTGCTATGTGTCAGGCCCTGATTGCGGTTTGTAAGGACTACCATGTGGAAGGGGGATGAGCTGTGTTCTGCTTGGCCCTAGCGGGCAGGACAAGTTGCCCTGACTTTGGTGGAAGTTACAAGGAGGTAAATCTAGACTTGATATCAAGAACACTTTCCTCAAATCTGAGCTGTCTCCAGGTGGAAGGGTCTGCCTTGGGAGGGCCAGACGCTCCTCCTGAGAAAGAGGGATACTCCATCTACCATGAAGCTCCAATGGTGAGGATGCCTTTAAGTGTGGACATTAGGAGATCAGTGGATTCTATGGAGTTATCAAGCCCCTGCTATGTGTAAAGCACTGTGCCAAGTGCTAGATGTACTAAGAAAAAAAGACTGATGTGGTCACATTACTGTCTGAGTTCCCTCACTACTGCTGCTCTCTCCCTCCTCAGTTATGTCTATAGCTCGTTATCTGCTCTCTCTTTAGTTCTTTTCATCTCCTACCCTACACTATGCTTTTTTTTTGGGGGGGGGGTTCTCTTCCTAGCAGGATGTAACTCCTTGGGAGGCAGTGTGGTAGAATGGGAACACTACTAGATTGGGATTCAGAGGACTTGGTTCTTGATATTGCCTTTGCCATTTTCTACCTGTGTGACCTTGTATAAGTCACTTGACTTTTCTGGGCCTCAGTTTTCTCAGCTATAATAATGAAAGAATTAGACTAGTTGGTTTCAAAGTGCCCTTGCTAAATCAATTGCCTGTGAAGGCAGGAACTGTTTTCATTTTTATCCTTAAATTCCAAGCCAGTAGAATAGTGTCTGGCAGACAGTAGGCACTTAGGGAGAGTTTTTGGAATAAAACTTCTGTTGGTCAGGACATTCATTCATTTGCTGTTGATAAGTCTGGATGGCTCATTGATATCAACTGATAATGGGGGAGTACGCTGGTGGGGGCTCATGAGCCACAATGCTAGAGATATCATGTCTGACCTCCCAGGGTTATCCCAATCACCCTGAAGGGAGAAGGAGCCACTCCCTCCTGGAGATTCCACCTGCCAGTCAAGTGATTTATTGGCACAGAGTAGGAACTTCAATGGTTGTGCTGTACATGGGGTGGTCTGCTCCCACACCAACTGAGAGTGCCTATTTATTGTCTTTCTGGGCGTGATTTTTTTGGTGACAAATTTTCTAATTATAGCTGTAGGGCTCCTGGGACAGACTCATCTGCCTGGCTAGGGAGCCCTAGGGAGCTTCCAACCTCTCTAGTGCACACAAATAATTTCCATCTGCCAAAATTTATTTTCTTACAGCACATCTATGACCATGTATACCTGCTGACGGAGACACAATGTGGTGGAGTAGCTAGACTTAGGAAGACCAGAGTTTGAATCCTGCCTCAGTTACTTATGACCTGTATGAATCTAAGAAAACCACTTAACCACCCTGAGCCTTAGTTTCCTCATCTGTAAAGTGGACATAATTATAGCATCTACTTCTCAGGCTTGCTTTAGTGCTTTAGAAATGTTAGCTATGATGATGCTGTCACTCCAGTGGCTTCCTAATACTTCCAGGAGCAAGTATGAACTCATCTGACAATGACAGCCCTTTGCAATCTGGCTCCAGACGTATTGCCTCTGATGCCCCTCCATGTAATCTCGGGTCTGTTCAGTCTGCTCTTCTTACTCTTCCTCACACAGGACATTCTATTCCCAGCCTTTGCAATGGTCGTTCTACATTTCTGAAAGTCACTCCCCCCCCACCCCCCACCCACTTTGGAAGCATTGTTTCCTATAAGACCCAGACCAAGAGTCAACTTCTTCTCCCCGAAGCCTTTTCCTGATCACTAGCTGCTGGTGTCCCATTCTGAATTACACACACACACACACACACACACACACACACACACACACACACACACACATACACACCCCTCTCTCTCCACTCAACACATATGCACACATATATAGTGTCTATATGTATATATCCATAAACATATGTGTATATATTTGCACACACACATCCCTTCTCTCATGATAAGAGCATAAGCTCCTTGAGAGCAGGGCTTGCTTCATTTTTAGTCTCTGTATTCCTAGCATAGTGTCTGGTGCACAGTAGGTGCTTAATGAATACTTTTTGATTGATGGGCTCCGTCATGCCCTGCTTATCTCTTTTGTCTGCTCCTGATGTGGGAGAGACCAGTTAATTCTGGATGAGATCAGGAAGGACAAGAAATTGTTACCTCAGGGGTTGAAGATAATAACATTGCAACATGAAAATTACTAGAGACTAAATGACAGAATTTGTGAAGCTTTATGCAAATGAAAAATTTGCAAAGGCTCCTGGGAGCTTCACCCTGTTCAAGGCCCAGCGTCAAGCTTCCTCGAAGGCCACTCCAAGGGTTTCTCTTGCTTGGAGGAGGGGGCCCAGGTTGCTTCGAGCCTCCTGCTTCAAGGAGAAGTTGCCTAGGACTTGGTGCCCAGGGGCTCTCTCTGCAGAAAGTTGAAGTTTGTCTGCGCATCGTTGGGGGGCTCTTATGTTTCGGCTGAAGCCCCAGCCCCGAGAAGCTCACTATCTCTCTCACACTGTGACAATTAGGATGCATAAAATTATCATTAAAAACCCTAATTTTTAAAGCCTCCAACCCTTGTCAGCGGCCTCTTAGCATTATTCAAACATGGTTTATTTAGGCCTCTGATCATGCAGCTCATTACCTCAGTTTGGTGTCTCTTGCTCTCTCTCTTGTAATCAAGCTCTAATTAGACTCAGCCAGAAGTAAAGGGGGGATGTTGCTTGGCCAGGGGTAGGTGAGTGCAGGGCCCCTGGCAGGCTGATTGACAGGGCCAGGGGAAAAAGCCTCAGGTGGGTCATAATTTGTCTGGCATAAGAAGATCACCCCCTCTAGGCTGAAGCCTGGCCCTGATGGGGTGAAGCTCTGCTGAGGGGGCCTCTCCTAAGGCCAGATCCTTGTTTGTGGGTAACGGAACTTAGCCGAAATGGCTGAGTGATGGAGCCAGTGTTAGGAAGCAGAAGTGGAGAAGCTAGGGCTTCTGGTGGGGTTGGGAAGGTATGGTGGGGATGGGGGCTCTTGCTGCTGCCTTCTTACCGGAGAGTATTTGGGGAGGTACACAGGTGGAGTGGAGCCAAGCCTTCCTCACTCATTAGGTTGGGGTCAGCCTGGTGTTCCAGGAGCAATTCTGCACAGTCCGTATGACCCCCTTGGCAGGCCTCATGTAGGGCACTCTTCCCACCTGGGGCTGCATTAACATCAGCATTCCAGTGTAGCAGATGGCGTACGCAGTCAGTGTGGCCGTGACTGGCGGTGATGCAGAGAGGGTTGGTGAGCTCTCTCTTATACTCCAGGGACCAGAGACCTGCAGGGTAGGGACAGAGGGGGAGAAAGCAATCAACCCAATCCATCAACCACCAAGCTGTTATCAATCATATTATCGATCAGCCCTGTGAGAAACACTGCAATAGAAAGACAAAGCTTCTTGACCTCAAGGAGCTCTGCTGTGTACATTCTGCTCTAGATGTAGTAGGCCTTGGAGATATCTATATATCTATGTATATACATACATACATATATATATATATATACATATATATATACAGATATCTATATATCTATGTATATACATACATACATATATATATATATACATATATATATACATATATATATACATATATATATATATATGTATGGGTGTGTATACACACACACACACACACACACACACATATATATATATAATGTGTATATAAAACAAAAATAAAATAGTCCATGCTCTCAAGGAGATTGCATCCTATCAGGGAGACAACATGAAGCCAATCAGTCAATCAGCATTTATTAAGTGTCTACCATGTGCCCAGATCTGTGCTAAGAGTTGGGATACAAAGAGAGTTAAAAGCCAGCTACTGCTCTCAAGGAGCTTACAATTTAACAACAAGCAAAAAACCATTCACAATTTATAAACAGGATAAGTAGGAAGTAATCACTAGAAGAAATTGAGCTAGAATTAAGAGTAGTTGGGAGAAGCTTCCTGGAGAAGATGGGATTTCAGCTGGGTCTTAAAGGAAGCCAGGAAAGTTAGGAGGCAGAGCTGAGAAGATGGAGCATTCCAGGCCCTGGGAACAGCCAGAGAAAATGGCCAGAGCTGAGAGTTGGAGGACCTTGTTCATGGAACTGCCAAGAGGCCAGTGTCTCTGGATCAAAGATGACCTGGTGGGGACTAAGGTGTAAGAAGACTGGAGAGGTGGGAGGGGGCTGGGTCATGGAGGATTTGAGTTCCAAGCTGAACATTTTGTGTTTGATCCTGAAGGTGGTAGGGAACCAGTAGAATTTACTGAGCAGGGCAGTGATATGGTCTGACCTGCACTTTAGGAAAACCACTTCGGTGACTGAATGGAGAATAGACTGGAGTAGGGAGAGACCTGAGGCTGGCAGTTCCCCCCACCCCACCCTAGCAGCTACTCAATGAGGTGATAAGGACCTGCACCAGGGTAGAGGCAGTATTAGAGGACAGAAGGGAGTGTATTTAAGAGATGTTGCAAAGGTGAAATTGACAGGCCTTGGCACCATATTGGATATGAGATAATGAGGAATCCAGGAGAAGTGAGGCAGTGAGCCTGAGGGACTGGGAGGATGGTGGTGCCCTCTGCAGTAATAGGGAAATTTTGAAGTGGGGAGGGTTTTGGGGTTCAGTTTTGGAAATGATGAGTCAGAATTAGAGGGACTTAAATTCTAGATGTCTAGCAGATATTTGGAGATGCACTACTGGAGATCAGCAGAGATAGATTTGAGAATCACAAGCAAAGAGGTTATAACTGAATCTATGGGAGCTGATGAAATCATCAAATGGTATGGAGGAGGAAGAAAAGAGAGCCCAGGATAGGATCCTGGGGGACACCCAAGGTTAGCAGATATGGCCTGGATGAAGGTTCAGCAAAAGAGACATAGAAGGAGTGATCAGATATGTAGGAGGAGAACTTCGGGGGGCAGGGGTGGGGTTGGACTAGTGTTACAAAAACCTAGAGAGAAGAAAGTATCGAGGAGAGTCGTCAACAGTGTCAAAGGCTGCAGAGAAGTCAAGAAGGATGAGAACTAAGATGAGACCATTAAATTTAGCAATTAAGAAATCATTGGATTATGGATTTTTTTTCAAGTCTAACAAGATAAAATGTAATAGGTATAACTATCAAATCTTAAGCTTGGGTTCAAAATATCAACATCATGGGCTGGCAGAGTGCGAAGGGTTGGATACAGTGGGTCCAAAAAAGATGACTGAACTTTAGAGGAATGAAGGCTCAGTCTGAATCAACAATGTGATGTGGCCACCAGGGAAGTGGATGTGATCTTGGCTTCATTTATAGGTTTACCACATTCCCTGAACTCTGGAGGGAATGATTCTGCTGTAACCTGAACTTGTCAGGACACTCTGTCTGGAAGGATGGTCTTCAGTCAGTCACCAAATCTTAACATTCAGCCAGTCCTCATCTCTCCTCACCTCCAGTTTCCCCTCACAAACTGCCTATTGGAAGTCTTGAATTGGATATATCATAGACATCTCAACCTCAGTGTGTCCCAAACTGAACTTGTCTTGCTTCCCAAACTGTCCTGTCTTCTGAATTTTCCTATTACTTAGATTTTTTTAAAAACATGGCTAATGTGAGGCTTTATTTGCTTGAATATACATATTTCTAACGGGTTTTGGTTTTCTTGCTTTCTCAAGGAGCAACATTCCATCCAGTCTGAGCCCACACCATAGATTAAATAAATGCCTTTTATATGTCATATACTGTACTAAGTGCTAGGAATACAGAGACAAAATCCACCCGTCCTGGATTCAAAGGACCTACATTCTGCTGGAGGGAGACATGTAGATGAGGTAGCTACACAATGCAGTGGATGGAGTATGGGATTCAGAGTCAGGAAGTTCAAATTGTTCCTGTTGACCTTTGCAGATTCTCTCACAGTCTAGTCCTCAATTCCAATGGCCTTTTCTCAATCCTCATCCCTCTTGACCTCTCTGCAGCCTTTGACCTTATTGATTCCTCCCCTTGCCACTCTTCTGTCTAGGTTTTTGTAACTCTCCTCTCTCTCGATTTTCCTCCCACACATGTGACCACCTCTTCTAAGTCTCCTTTGCTGGGTCTTCATTCACGCCATGCCTGCTAACCTTGGGTGTCTCCCGGGACTCTGTCCTGGGCTCTCCTCCTATTGCACTCAATGATCTCATCAGCTCCCAGGGATTCAATTAATATCTCTTTGCTGATGATTCTCAGATCTATTTATCCAACCCTATTTTCTCTCTTAACTTCCAGTCTCTCATCTCCAAGACCCTATTGGACATCTTGAACTTGATATCCTCTAGAATTTTTAAACTCAACAAGCCCACAACTGAGCTCATTATCTTTCCCCAAAACCCTTCCCTCTTCCAAACTTTCCTATTACTGTCAAGGATACCATCATTCTTCTTGACACCCAACCTAGGTGACATCTTCAATGCCTCACTCTCTTATTCCCTCATCCTCACATCCAACCAGTTGCCCAGCTCTGTCCATTTGTACCTTTCTAACATCTCTTGAACACACCCCCTTCTCTCCTCTTATGCTGCTATCACCCTGTTCTAGGCCTTTACAATTTCATACTAAGACTATTGTAAAGCCTGGGGGTTGATTTCCCTGGCCCAAGTAGCTCCCCATTCCAGCCCATTCTCCACTCAGCTGTCAAATTCATCTTGTAAAAGCACAGGTCTTGTCTGGGCTTGGAACATTGACTATTTCATTCATTTGCATTTAGAAGAGTGACCATGCCATTCTTCTAGCCAATCAACCCCAGTGGCTCTTTGTTACAGACAGGTAGGCACAAAAAGATAGAGACAGAGACAAATTCGGAGACAGAGAGACACAGCCTGCCAGAGGAACACATAGAAATAGACACACACAGACACAGGCAGAGAGAAAGAGACAGAGACAGAAATAGACACAGAGATACAGGCACAGAGATGGAGGGATGCAGAGATAGAGAGACAGTGTATCAGTGGAGGTAGTTCCCAGGACCATGACCTCTGGCAGCAGAGAAGAAAGCCAATTATAGATTCAAAAGTCTTTTGGGAGTTAGGCCGAAGAGAAGAGAAGGTCTAGGGAGCCCAGAAAACCCCCCTTGCCCAGCAGAGATGCTCCTAGAGGGGAATATCTTGAGGATTCTATGAGAAAAGACATGAGGGCCCTGCAGTGCCAGAAGCATGAGTTGTCTTGGCCAAATGCACAGGAGCACGTGTGCCTTGCTACCAGTGTGTGTGCCCACTCTTCTCACTGACACTGTGCATGTACGTGGGAGAGCATCTTCCTGGTTATGGGGCAAATGTTTCGTGGTGACTGCAATTACTAGACTGTCTCAGCAAATGCCTTTTCTTTGAACTAATTGTGTCTAGTGTCTGACTGTTAAAGGTAGGGGCCTTGGGAGCAATAGTTTTACAGATATGGCCCCACAGAGTACCCTTGAGTCCCGGCGGTAGTGATACTCAAACTGCAACCTGTGAGTGCTGAGTCAAGGAAGTAGGTCCAGGGGTGGGTCTACAAAAATAAATGAAAATATGTACACACAGTAAGTTTTGGTGGGACTGGAGAAAAGCGTCCACAGTGCAAAAGCAGGGAAGCCTTCAGTGATATGTGTGGCATCCTTGCTCCCGGCCAATTAGAGTGATAGTTGAGATGAGCTTGCTTAGAGAAACATACATCAAAATACAATTTCAAAGCCCCCAACCCTTACCCCTCTATTGCCACCAAACAGCAGGAGGAAGAGAAGCAAACACAAAACAACTGCCTGACACCAGCCAGCTTGCTCCAGGAAGGGCCTGAGAACGAGTGTTAGCCCTCCTGAAAATATCTGAGGTGGAGGAAAAAAAACCCAACTTTGATGCGTTGCTCCACATTTCACACAATTCGGGCTTGTTGCTTCGAGCGCTCTAGGGTTTTGTGTGTGTATGTGGAGGGCTGTTCTTTCTTAAGGAATAAAATGGAGCAGGGGCTATGTGCTTTACTTTCTGAAAACTTTGGTGCTTTCAAAAGCCCTGTCGAAGGTTGTTAGCTGTATTGAGCAATGGTCTAAGTAAGGGGGGAGCCAGTCCCTGGTGAATACACATCAAGGGGCAGGAATTCACGCGGTAGGCATGCCTGCTTCTAATGATGGCAGAATCGATCGAATGGCTGTAATGAGCTGCAAAGGGGACCCTTTCCACAGGCCAATCCTTCCCCAGAGCCCATGCTGAGAAGTTTTGAAAGACCACTCCTTAATTACCTACCAGTGTGTAAGACAGATTCCTACCCTGGCAAGCTTTGGAGCCCTTCTACCTTGAGGATGCTGTACACATGGCTCTGGAAAGGACAGGTTAGTTAGGTGCTAAAGGAGGGATGACCGTGGCAGGACCCAGTGAAGTGGGAATAGGAGATACCTGAATGGGAAGCTCCTTGATCCTTGGGAAGATGGGGAGCTTGGGTCTAGGGTAAAAGCTGGGATTTGTGCAGAAATTTGGAGATTAAGGGCATTCTTTTATTTACTACCCATAGGCCCTTGGGCAAATTGTTTAACCTCTCTGGGATTCTGTTGTCTTTTCTATAAAAAGGGCAAAGGGTTGGATTAGATTGTCTCTAAGGTACGCACTCCCCTGCTCTAGATCTCTGATTTCAAGGTCCACAATGAAAGTGAAAGTTCCACTGTCCTCTGTCCTGGTCAGACCGCATCAGTGCCTGGCATATAGCAGGTGCCCAATAAATGCTAACTGATTGATCGAGGTAAGTTGTTCAGTTTTGGGAACCACAGTGTAGGAAGGTCATCGCTAAGCTGGAGAATGCCCAGAGAAGGGTGGCCATGATGGGGAAGGGCCTTGGGTCCATACTGTATGACAAGTAGCTGAAGGAACTGAAATTATTTTTCTGGGAGGAGAAAAGTGTCAGGGGGCACGTGACATTGTCTTCAACTATTTCAAGGACTGTCACATGGGAGAGATTGAGCTTGATTTGCTGGCCCCCAGAGGACAGCTTTGGTCGACTTCTGTGGGTTTCCCCGAGAGTTTCTCCATTGCCTTGGCTGTATCACCTTGCCTCTCATTCTTGACACCGGAGTAGAGAATATGGGGCCAATACCATCTGGGCCACATTATACTTGAGTCAAATCGCCTCTGCTGCAGTGCTTTACCTAGAGACCCTACTAGAGGCACAACCTCCCTGACAGCCCCCAGGCCCAAGGGACAGTCTCTTGGCTCTGCCAGAAGCCTCTGTCCTTGTGGAGCAGATTCCCAGGGCCAGCGGTTGAGTCCTGGGTTGCAGGCCTGGCTGGGATGGGGGGAGTTCCTCAAGAGTACCCATGTCTGCTTAAGGCCATCTGGAGGGGAATAACTTGCCTTTGCCCTCCATATGTCTGCTCTTCCATTTAACACCTGTGTAAGCAGCTCTACCATGAGTTAGTCCATTGTGAGACGCCTTGAGCCCAGATCCAAGACAAAGATGGATGAGAGGAAAGCTTCCCTAACAATCATTGGTATCCTCAGCTTCCTTCAAGATTCAGCTCCCAGCCCACTTTGGCAGGAGGCCTTGCCTTGTCCCAGCAGCTTCTAGCATCCTCCCTCATCTATTCCACATACAGTGTCTATGGAACCAGTTCTGGTCATATTGTCTCCTCCTACAGAACATGAGCACCTTGAGGGCAGGGGCCGTGTGGTTTGTCTTCTTTGGATTCCTGGCACCTAGCACAGTGCCCAGCCCATAGTAAGTGCTTATTAAAAGTTGCTAACTGCCTTCAGAGGAATAATTAACCTTGTTCTGATTGGTCCTAGAGGGTAGAGGCTTCAAAGAGACAAATTTAGGATCAATGTCAGGAAAAACCCATTAACAATGAGAGCTGTCTCATAGTACGATGGGTTTTCTCAAGAGGTAATAGATTCCTCTTCCCTGGAGATCTTCAATCAGAGGCTGAATGACTGACTATCTCCAGGTTATATTGTAGTGGAGGTTCCTTTGGATCATGGGATGGACTAGATGGCCACAAAGACCCCTTCCAACTCTGACATTTTGTGACCATTTTGTTAAATACTTGGGTTTGGACAAGAGCTACACAAGATGAGAGAGCATGGAGGGCTGCAGTCTACAGTGGTAAAGGGGGCACTCCCATTGATGAGATAGTTGGCCCAATGAAGTCTGGAAATAAGTCTATGTTGTATGCTAGAGTTCAACAGTCATTGATAAAGTGATTTTAACCCTCAATCTCTCGTACAGAGACTATTCAAAACTCTGTCTGGTTTGGTTTTCAGAATCTAGTTCCAGCCCACTGGTGCCTCGTGTGGCCACCCATTGCCTTCCCAATCAGGCACTTACTATCCCAGTGTTACAGTAACAGGTCATGTTATCGAACCTGTTGTCTCTAGGGTTTCTTCATTTGGAGGCAGAGTGGGCAGTGATGAGTTTTCCCTTATCATTTCATTTCAGTACAATAACCATTCATTAGGAGGCAACATGATCCCACACAGTACTTGAAAGAAGGCCATAGTTGAAATAG